CCAGAACATCTCAGAAGCCGGAAGCAAGGCCTCCCCTGGTCCCAGAGGCCAGGCTGGAGCTGAGTCTGTAGAAGGTCAGAGGGCTACTGACTGGCAGAGGCAAGGATGGAGAAGTCAGGACTCAGACAAGATGTGACCCTGGCTTGCACCTTCTGTGGCTGAGCCTCCAGGCACTGACTCACCACCTGCACTTGTCAAGTGCTTGTATTTCTTGCTCCAGGAAAAGACCTTCCAAGTTTGGGACAAACCAGTGGTGTGGCACAACTTCCACTTTTGATCTTCCAAGAACCTTCTCACACCTCCCTTGCCCCACCTTCCTCCCTAAACTCTCAGAACCCCAAAGTTACTGCTATCCACTTGGTTCTGACTCATAGCGACCCAACAGACAGGGTAGACCTGCCCTGTGGGTTTCTGAGACTGTAGCTCTTAACAGGAGTAGAAAGCCTCATCTTTCTCTCAAGGAGTGGCTGGAGATTTTGAACTGTGACCTTACAGATTGCAGCTGACTACATTACCACTATACCACGATAACCATATCCCCCACACAAGACATTGCCATCACACCTCCCTAAAGCAGTGCCCTTGAAAAGTTTGTTAAAACAGTTTTTACAGAGTCATAGGTTTAACTGAAAAGGGTTTTTTTTTAGTGAGAAACAATCATTCTATACAAGTGCTTGGCAGTGGTATTGACGGAAGAAATGCTTTGTTCAGCTTTGCTGCTTCTCATTACTTCTCAGCTCCACAGAGTTGTGATAGGATGTTGTCTGGGGGCATACTGATTTTAAGTGAATGTTTATTTTAAGGACACTCTTACAACCCTTAGCCAACCATTTCTAGCTGCTGCTGTTTGAGGATTCCTGCCTCTTCAATCACTAAGAGAGGCATCCAAGAAAACAACCCACTGCTCGTGAAAACCAGGAAACTCGGGCCCATCAAGACCCACCCCAATTACCCTGGCTCACCAGCTTGTGAAGCCAGTCTGATGGAGTTGAAGCATCATGGTGGCTTTGTTTGTTTTGCTTTGATTTGGGGAAAGAAATGAAAACATCAGACAGTCTGCTCCCATCCAAGAGTCTCAAGAACATACTGACAATTCCGGTGAGTAAGCAGAGGACACTGGCCAAACAGCTCTCCTGGAGGGAGCAGGCAGGAAGCCAGCCCCACGGTGCTGCAGACTACCACAGCACAGGCTCCACACAGCGAAGTGCAGTGCCTGACTACTAGCCACCAGGTTGGTAGTTCAAGCCCACCCAGAGGTGGCCTGGGAATAGAAGGCATGGCGATCCGCTTCCAAAGCTAACAGCCATGAACTCCCTATGCCGCCCGGCTCTGCTCCACTCACCATGAGTCAGGATCCACCCCACAGCAACTGGTTCGGCTTTGTCTGGTGAGAAGCCCTCAGCATTATGCCAGTATTGTATTTTGCTTTTTAACAGTTCTTTTCCCTGGAAATGTTCACGATGTGGTGGTTGTAATTTTAGACCACGCTTCCCCAATTACTCAGCAAGTTTTCAACGCCATGCCCCTCTATACCGTGTGCTACATAAAGACAGGATAAATGTCCCAGGAGTCTACAGCTGAAGCCACAACACCCCTTGAAAGTAGATGTAAGTTAACCTATAGCAACAATAGAACAACAACAAATTATATCTGAAACACATTGCTAACAGAGAGCTCATACTTTATTTTGGCAAATTTAATATAGAAAAATATCCTAATGTGAATATAGCTGTTGCTCTTTTTGTAACATAGTTGGGGTAGCGCAGTGCAAGGCAAGTCATCCGAGAGGCTGCCAGTCAGGGCGGTGGTCTCTCTTCTGACGGGCGCAGCTGCAGTGAGTAAAGACTGGGTGGTGCTTCAGCCGGAGCGGTTGCTTGAAAGAGTATGGGACACGTAAGAATGGTTTTCTAAAAGTATGGCATTCCATCATAAAGAGTATAAAGCAATGAACTAAACCAACCTTTAGATATTTTTGGAAGGCCTAAATGTAAAGTTTAAACTTCAGGATAAATGCTAAGAACTCATAGTTTCACATTTCCTACCGACACATAATAGAATCAGAGTACTACTTATTTTTAAAAAACAAACCGGAGGGAGAAAAACGAGAGTAAACATGATGTGTCAGAGGACCCTAAACAGTAAACATTGATTTGTTTCAACAGTATGCGCTTTCCCCAGCTGTCGATCAAAATGCAGTTGACTCTCCTCCAAAACAAGTGATCTGAGAGCTAGTCAGCTGTGCCCTCATGTCTGTACCCACCATCTTTGGAGGGGTGGCTGGGGAGGGGGGCGTGGACTCTTGGTACATGCAGATATTTGCTTAAGGTAATAAAGACAGAAAATAGATGAGCCGGGGCTTTCATGCTGAAACCACTGCCCCCAGTGTTAAGCACTGTCACCGGTAAAGTCACACTGAATAACTCACACAGGGGCTCATTTTGTGACTTGTGATTCAGTTTCTTTCTCTGCATCCCTTCCTCGGGACTCAAAGAACAGAACTGCGGGGGGAGGGGGGGAGGGTGTCCCTCCTTAAAATGTATCTTATCTGTACCATAAAATGAATGTACATACAGATGTACAAACATGCACTTCCTTTTCACGGGCTGGGTAACTCCTCGTTGTCTATCAAATAATCCTTTTTCATATACTTGGTGCCCCTAACTAATCGCCACACGTCCAGGTAGGCATCTTTCAGCGACCTCTTGCTCATTTCTTCTGGATCCAGGGTGGTCTGCACGCTTGGGGCCCTCAGCAGGCTTCCTCTGGGGCTGCGTCTCGCCTCTGGCCCCCTCTGCTGAGAGGAGCCACCTGCAGCCTCGCCACCTTCTGACCCGCCATGCCCACCCTCCCCAGTCAGCTCCTCCATGAGGAAGGGCAGCTGATCTCCGCTTGGCTGCGCCTCCTCCGCACCCGGCTGCTGGGCCTCCAGGTCCTCATAGTTGCTTTGCTTTCTGGTCTCCATGAACTTGGCCACACAGTAAATGACGGAACCCAAGGTGTTCACCACGACGCCGGCGATAAACAGGGAAGTGGGCTCCACGTCGCTGAAGGCCACCATGCCCACCGTGATGGTGGCGATGCTCTTCACCACGCCCACGAAGCTGGTGGTCACGGCCGAGTTGATGTAGGTGCAGTGCAGCGTGGTGAAGTTCATGGCGCAGCCGATCAGGATGCAGGCCACGAAGATGCAGACCATGACTGGGTCCTTCCAGCCGGGGAAGGCCCAGGCGTGGATGGCGTCGGTACTCGCGAAGGAGAAGACGACCAGCAGCGGCGTGGCGGACACGGCGATGACGTACTGAGCGGTGAGCGGCCCATGCTCCGTGTCCGCGCTCGCCTTCTGGATGAGCACCAGGTAGGCGGCGTGCACCAGCACCGCCAGCACGCCCGTCACGTACCCGATGGGGTCGCCGGTCAGGTCGCCAGCTCCTAGAGCGCGCGGGGCGGGGGTGGGGATGAGAGAGAGAGAGAGAGAGAGAGAGAGAGAGAGAGAGAGAGAGAGAAAGAGAGAGAGAGAGAGAGAGAGAGAGAGAGCGAGACCGACCAGGTTGGCGTGGGTGGTCTCCCACTGAGGCAGCTCAACAAAAAGTACACGGGGTTCGCGCCCCGGTGATACCCCCAGTCGTCTGGGCCTAACTAGCCGCGCGGTGCTTCGGCGACGGGTATAAACTGGGGGAGCCAAGCCTGGTCAGTGCCCAGTGGGAGCCTCCCCTGCCCGGTACCCCCAGCTCCCGGGTCTCCCTCTGCCCACCATCGGCTGGCTGCCCCGGGGGTCCCCACTCGCTTCCGCTGGGGTCTCCTCGCTCCCCCGCCAAGTCCGAGGGGCCCAGCCGGCCTCCCTCTGCCGGGTGCCCCCAGCCCCGGGAGACCTCCAGCCATGGGGCTCCCCGCTTGCTTCCCATCCCCCCTACACACCCTGCCCTCGGTCGGACTCTCCAGTACTCCCGCAGGGCACAACCGCGGCAAGTTCCTGGTCCCCTCCTTCCGGCCGGACCTGGGTGGGAGGACTCTGTCCCCGGAGCCCGCGGCTCCCCACCCCGCCCGCAGGAAGGGGAAGCGGGAGACTAAGTGGCCCGGCCGACCCCGGGCAGGAGACACTGGGAGCAGCAGGGGGTGGGGGTGGGAGGTGGGGTGTCCGAGGAGGCGCCCGGAGCACCGGGGACGGTGCCAACGGGTCTAAGTGCAGGCAGAGCCAAGCGACCCCTTCCCAAGGCTCCCTGTCTCAGTCTCCCAGTCTCAGTCTCCCCGTCGCGGAGCGAGGGCGGTGCCCGAAAGCCGCCCCGAGGTCTCGACCCTGTGGGACCGGGTGGGCCGCCGGGGGTCGGCGCGGCTCCCGCTCTCACCTGCCAGAGCGGCGCCGCAGGTGGTGATGAGCACGGCGGCGATCACTCCGGGCGAGGGCGCGCCGTTCTTGAGCACCAGGACGCCGATGAGCATGGTGACCAGGGGCAGGCAGCGCTTGAAGACCACGTACATGGGCAGGCTGAGGCCGCGCAGCGACCAGAGCGTGAGAGTGGACTGCAGCGTGGACAGCGCCGCGACCCCCGCGAAGGATCGCGCCAGGCTCAGGCCGAAGGGGGGCACGGCGATGAGCCCGAGGCGCCGCAGCAGCTCCAGGCTGAGCGCGGCCGTGGAGCCGGTCAGGCACTGCACCAGGGTCAGGAAGGAGAACTGGTAGCGGCTGAGCAGGAACTTGAGCAGGATGTTGAGCGAGCCCGAGAAGACCCCGTGCGCGATGGCCACCGAGATGCCCAGC